AACTTGTAGAAAATTCAACCAAATGTATCCTGAATTGACACCAATGAACGAGAGGAAGTTTGTAAGATTACAAAATAATTTCCTTAACTATGGCTCCATGTTAAAAGCGCCTTCAACGTTACCAAAACCTGTTACTTCAAATGAGGACAATACTGTTAACGTTTTGGCATATTTTTATGCATATCAAGAAGCTTCCATTCGCAGTGCAGAAAAAGATTTAGGTGTATCACATGCTTCAGTACAACGAATTTTGAAAAATCACGGAATGCATCCGTATAAATTCACCAGAATTCAAGCTCTTAAAGCAGAAGACTTCGAACGCAGAATGCATTTTTGTGAATCCCTTTTGATTCATACACAGGAAGATCGTAAATTTTTGTCAAAAATAATTTGCAACGACAAATCAAAATTTAGGAGGGATGGTATTTTCAATAGAAGGAATGAACATTTTTGGGCTGATCATAATCCTCATGTTACAAAAGAAATGGGTTTTCAAGAAAAATTTGACCTGAATGTTTTCTGTATTCTGAAGAACAATAAAATTAGAAAAATATCAACTTTTTATGAATTGAGAGTACTGCTGTAGTTAATTTCAATTAAGGCTATGTTTTGGACCATATTTAGCACAATTTATTTTTTATCTCGAAAACAGATAGAGATAGGTATAGGACATTATCAACAAAAAAGTATTAAAATATCAGAGCGATTCCAAAAATGTGTTGATATACGGGGTGTTTCACTTAAAAAAAAAGTTGCTAGGAATTTTTTATGGAAGTGGCAACGCCGCAATGCTGAAAATACTTTAGATCGATAGAACAGGTAAGGGAATGTGAGAGATGAAATTTTCAGAAAAATCATGCCTTGCGTTTTCCAGAAACGTCTAACCTACCATCGACCGTGAGTCACGCTGTATTGTTTGTTGAAAATAATATTTAATTTTTTAGAGTAACCTGACTATTACATAAGGACACATTGTAAAATCAATTCAAGATTAGTAGATAAGGTAATATTGTGAAATTAATTTAAAACTCTCAAGACGCAGGTACCTAGAACAGGTATCTATGGTATAAAAAGGATAGCTTTGTGAGTAGATAAGTTTGATCTCCCTCTTGAAGATGATCACTTGGTGATCGAAACACGTGTCGAGGTGTTCAAATAACAGTATGGTGTTGGGAAAAAACTCCATTAATACTCATTACTACACCAAAGATTGCAAACAGAACATCAGAAGGTTATATACTCAAAAGAACAGAAGGAAGTATTGATTCCATTGTTTGAAATCAGTAATGCCAATGTAAGTTCGTCTAAAATTGAAAGTTATTGAATAATCTAACAGTTCGTCGCAAGCCACCGAATATACTGTGAAATATGATGCCGAACGTGACAAGTATCGATTAAATTCATGTGAAATTCTTGTCATTTCTGCTAGCATATCAATTGAAATTTCCAAGCATGCAAACTAAAGTTGGCTCAATTTATCGTTCACAAGTATTTCGCGGAACTGCCTCTCATAAAATAATTTGCCTTCGAAGCCGTTATTAAAATTTCGTTCTTTATTAAACTTTGGTTCACGCCCATCCAGTTGGCTGGCAGTTTATTAAAAAGATACTTTCAGCAATTCGCCGATAGATGACAAATTAAAAAGTTTTTCAGTCTAAAAAACAATATCCAGAACGGAAGTTATTTTCTAAACGAGAAACATTCCATTTGTGGAATTCTTGGGAGTGCAAAAAAGCACTGGATGGCAAATTTTGATGTTATTTAAAATATGTGAGTACAAATACAAAGTGTTCAAATGATGCGTGAGTGGTTGACAACTGCTTCCCAGCAGGATTTGAATAACCATTTCGTGATCTTGTGGATCTTCATCAGGTATCAATTTCATAATTCAATATGTGTTTCTCAGGTTTTTCAAATGAAATACTCTATATTCAAGAAAAATTTCATCGTGGGCAGTTTACAAAACCACAATACATATTTCGCTATACAATAGCTTCCTCAAATACTTAAATACTTTCATAATAAGGATACTTCATCTCTTGAAAAAACTGGTAACAGAATGAATTCAAACAATTTCTACAATCATGAGTTCACAGCTGTTATTGAAACATTTTCCATATTGTGTTATTGATGAATGAGATTTTTCTTAAATTTTCCTTTCAACTTCGAATGAAGTTAATTTCATGATGAAACGGAGAATTCTTCAAGTCATTGGGTTATCTCGATAAACTTTTCCTTCAACACTTCTCCATAGATACAAATCTGGAGGCGTGAGATCTGGAGATCAAGTTAGCCGCTGAATGGGTCCGTTTCCATTCATTTCTGTGCCAACTGTTGAGAATATTTCAAGCTTATATACACTGTGGGTAATCATGTCTTATGTCAATGAATTTGGTGAAACATTTCAGACGAAGTCTATGTCAATTTCTTCACTCAGTGGTCCATCAAAAAATATGGTTCGACTTGTTTTCGTAATGAAGTTATCTATCCTAATCAGGATTGGCCAGATACAGTTGTGCCTATTGATCATATCATTGCTTCCAAACGTTCATTCATCACTGAAGAGAACTTTTCTCAAAACATATTGATGGTTACATATTATACTCAGTGATTTCTGGTAATATTATTTATATTGATATTCTGTTTACTTAAGTAAACGCTTTCCCTGGCACTGACATGAGGATTTTCAGTTGTTGAAAGTATCACTAAAAGTTCCTTTTCTCCATTCGTTGCAATTTCATGTACAACTGTTAGGTACAACTCTTACCTAGCCACTGCAAGTTTTCTCAAATCCCTCTTTGATCTTCCGAAAACTCTCTGGTTACATAAACTTAAGTTAGGAAGGAAGTCTAGTTCGATCGAATGTCAAGGTTTTTTCTATTGTTTTGTCCGATTACTGTGGCGTAGTGTATCAGAAGTTCCTGCTACATGGTCGTGCGGTCAATAATAAGTGATACACTGTTGTTATGCGTCGCTTGCAAGAAGCAATATGGAGAAAATGTCCGATATTGTTGAGATTCAGTTCATTTACATCATGATAGTACACTTGCTTACTCGTCATTGCTTGTTCGTAATTTTTTGGCCAAAAACAACAACCGTATTTACCAGGATTGATGCCCTTCTACTTTTTCCTGTTGCCAAGGTTGAAGAAACGGCATTTTGCGACGATTGAGGAGATAAAAACTAAATCGCTGGTAGAGCTGGAGGACATACCAAAAAATGCATATCAGGGTAATCGTATTGCTGACTCTTCAGCCAAGGTAGCGGCTGGACCTACGGCCTGATGATTTCGACAATTGTGAAATTAACCAAACGTCATCCCCATGCTCAATCCCTAGAGATGGGATGAACTGAAAGGATGCAGTCTTGCCATATTCACCCTGGGCGACCCTGGGAAGCTGTCAGGCATGTCTTATGCGAGTGTCCGGAGTTATCGTCAATAAGAGAGTGTGTGTTCGGCGAGTCTTGGCCTACACCTGCCGATATAAAGGAAATATCTCCAGTGACCTGTCTACCTTCCTGGAAAGGACAGAATCGACGATGACCTAGGAGGACAACACCTCAGGAGGATGTACAATGGGTCACATGTGGACTAAGTGCTATGGGCCTACACTCACCCTCCATTCTCTACAGAAGTGCATATCAGAACTGTTTTAAAAATTGGTAAAAATACTGACACTAGTGTATTATATCTGAGGAGGACTATTTCGAAGAGGAAGAAATATAAATTGTTGAATAAATGAATATTTTTTGAGAAAAATTGAAATTCATCTTATTTTATGAACAGACACCGTATGTTCGATATGCGTGCATGTCATGTTGTGTTTCATTCGATAGAGTTCGGAAGCTGAACAAAGAAATTGGAAAAGCATAACAATCCGTTGATTTCAGAAAATCCACAAAATTTCGCCGATAAGGAAGTATGCCTCAATAAACTTCATTGAAGAAAGACAATGAAATAAACATGTTAAAAATAGAAAACGTGAAAATGATGTTGGAGGCGATACAGACAGATATAAATCGTATTGTCGATGTAATAGACTCGAAACATTTAATTTGTTCAAACTATTTATTCAGACATTTTAGGTGAGCTGGATTCCGTCAGCTGCACAAGTTAGAATTACTTTCCATTGATCACACTTTCATTTTTTGTGCATGGGAAAGTGTGCCTTCACCAGTTTCATGGTTCTTCACAGAACGCAGTATTCCCATTTGCATTTTTGATACCATTTGGTACACATACGACGGTTTTACACGATAATGAAGTAGAAAACGTAGCTAAATTGTCAAATGCTTTATCAAATGTTATAGAAATGCGTCCTTCACCGCTTTATGGAATATTCACATGAAATGACCATACTCATGAACAATTTTAGTATATAAACCACATCTGAACTTATAAACAGTAGCACATCAGACAGAATAACATCAAAAGTTATCACCCGAAGACGATTGTGCAAACTAACAATCGAAACGTCATGAAGTAACTTGGTTTGGAATCTTATGATTTTTCAATTCTCATTTTTTGTTAATTTTTCTTTTAATTTTCATCTCGTTTTTGTAGTTAAATTTTTTTTTTCATTTTTTGGTGGTTGCTTGTATTTTATTTCATTGTAATTTCAGTTTTTGTGGTTTAATATAATTGCTATTTTCCAGCTAATCTTTTTTAATTTTGTTTCAGATTTTTTCAGTGATTTCAAATCAATGTATATCATATTAGACAATGGAAGTCCGAACTAATGAAATGCACCACGAAACATTGTCAACCACTTTCAAAGTTAAATTGTTATCATTTGAATATTACTGGAGATTCCCAACACCACACCATTATTTCAACACCTCGTCATGTGTTTCGATCACTAAGTGATCATCTTCAAGAGGAAGATCAAAACTCAATTCAGATTAGTATTAGTGTTATTGGTGATTTCACACAAAGATTAATTCGATGGTAGAGTGGAAAGTACAACTGCCACTTGTTCTTTATATAGATTACAACTCACTTGAAAAAATCTAGTCGACCATCTTGTTTGTTCACTGTGATGACTCTGGCTGGACCATCCGCTTCAAAACAACCTTGAAAAATGATAGCCATCGACACCACAATCATCGTCAATCCTTGCATAACATCTGCCCAAATTGCAGCTTTCAAACCACCCTGAAAAATATTGTGTTATAGAAACTCCATCGATATTGATTAACACAATCAATCAATCAAACTATTTTTGAATATCAAAGAATAACATCTTGTTGACAAATCGTGTGTATACAAATGTAAATGTAATTAAATTATTAACATTTGATAAACGTATAAAAATAGTCCCTACCATATAAAATTGAATCAAATAACTTCTCAGTCACTTATTTGAAATTTAAAAATAACAAACAATAGAAGGTGTATAGTGTATAGAATTTTTCAGTGTGGTAATTAATTATATGCAATTATTCGCCTGTATAATGCAGGTTTTTTGTTAACAAAGGACCGAGCTGTCTTGTCTGGTGACCATGTAAATTTCTATGTTCTACAAATTTTATAGTGAAAACTTTTTTATTTTCTTTTAACAGACTGCAGAGAAGTGCACACTTTTGATTCATAAATGGATTCGGCACTAAGTAAACGCTTTGGTTCATTTAGATTTACAGTTAGTTCTGAGAAAGGTAGATCTAAAATACATTTGATAGTTTTATTCTGTTGACTTCTAAATGGTTTCAAAGTTGTATTAGAAGCAGTTCTCCGTATACTACCTAAATACTATAATTTTGAATGCATAATTGAGAAGTAAATTAGCTACAGATGCTTTACAGAAATACTGTTCCTCATTTATTGTAGAATCCCAATGCCTGGAGATAGCTTTTTTCGTATGATATCGATCTGGATGTTCCAGGAAAGAGTTTCATTTATATGTTTTATTTTATTTATATGTACTAACTGAATGCTAGTGGATTTTTCAATTTTCTTGTGTCTCAACACCAATTTGGAAGTTTTTGTCTCACAGGACTTTTTATCAATGAACATAAATGAAGATTTTTCGAAACTCAAAGTGAATTTGTGTATATTGAGCCAAATATGTATTTGTTTTAAATCGGCTTCCATTTGTTGGTGTATTGATTGTGAATCTTCATTGCAATAGATCGAAGTTGTATCATCAGCAAATGCTACTAATTTTCCAGAAAGCTGTAACTCCCAAATGGAATTTATATAAATGAGAAAGAGTGAAGGTCCTGACATAAATAGCCGCGGTACTCCACAAACAGTTTTTCTCAATGAAAAATTCTTATTTTTCAAAGACACATATTGCTTTCTATCACTTAAATGATTTCTAAACCATAAAAAATGTATTACCACTAATACTAATATCAAATAATTTTTTTTTACAAAATTTCATGATTACCAGTATCAAAGACTTTACAGATGTCCAAAGGGTGAATTAATTTTGTATGTATATCATTTTATGAGTTGAAAAATGCATCTGGTGAATGTTTCTGTATTTTCCCGAAACTGAAATGAGTCTTGAGTCTGATAATGAAAGCCATTTGTTTTGAATCAGCATTCTTTAAACCAAACATAAATGAGTGGTGAGGCTTGAGTAACAATGATTTATAACTGCCAAATATGTTTTTACAATGAATAACATCAATTCACAATGTTATTGAAACAAATTTTTTCACATCACAAAATGCAAAATCAGTTTTATCTCTGCTGAACACAATTCGTATGTTTCCGAACAACGCAACGAAACGAGATCACTCTTATTTGGAATGCAAATCCCGTATTGTTGCAGTCCATATATGCATCTGATATCACAAAAAACGTGCATCACGCTATATGAATCGAATATTTTTATGTTGATTCCATATTTATGGTTTCATGCAGATTCAGTGGCAGTCCAAACCGGGATGTTCGATTCATGAACAAAACTTTCACCTAGTTTTCGAATCGGGTTTTGGTGTCATAAATATTTGATAGAAATTACGATTAACAAGGACATGCACGACAGCAATCATCTTTCTAATTTTCCATCATTATAAAGAAAATAATTTATCATTAGATGGGCTAAATCGTTCGTGAACTAATACTAGTATTGAATCCATATTATTTTAGTTAACTCTAACATTAAGAAGACACGTGTACAATATTTCAAAAAAATACTGTTGAAGCAAAGGTTTGGCTTGATAAACATTATTTGGACTTTCTAACAGGAAAATCAACCATTGAGAAGTGGATTGCTAGATTTAAATGAGATGAAATGAGCACTGTATCCGGTGAATGCAATTCTTGGAATCGCAGTCCGCGTTTGGTGGCCTGGTTTTCGTGAGACTGCTATGGATAGTGTTCCCAGACCTGAAGCAAGTTCTGATGTTATACTTGGACCAGTTATACTTATACCAGTAACATTAGTCGTTGAGAAATGGATTGCTAGGTTTGAACTAGATGAAATGAGCACTGAGGAGGATGCATGCAGTGAAAGTTCCAAAGAAGCTGTTGCCAACGAATACATCAGAGAAGTCCACAAAATACTTTTGGATGACCGCAAAATGAAGTTGATCGAGATACCTGCTAGTATTGAATCCATATGATTTTTAGTTGACTCTAACCTTATAAAGACACGTGTACAAATTTCACAGCTGTCGGGCTATTGGAAAACAACTTCTGTTAATTTGAAAAAAATTAATGAAAAGGAATTTCGCGTTTTGGGAAAGCATTGTTTTTTGATGAAAAAAGTACTGTTGAGGACAAGGTTTGGCTTGATAAACATTATTCAAACTTTGTACCAGGAAAATCAACCGTTGAGAAGTGGATTGCTAGATTTAAACGAGGAGAAATGAGCACTGTATCCGGTAAATGCAATTCTTGGAATCGCAGTCTGCGTTTGGTGGCCTGATTTTCGTGAGACTGCTATGGATAGTGTTCCCAGACCTGAAGCAAGTTCTGATGTTATACTTGGACCCAATATTTTTGATTTTCTGGTCAAAAACAACACCGAAATCATACCTTAGCCACCTTACTCCCCAGATTTGCCCCAGCAAATTTTTTCTGTTTCCAAGATTGAAGATACCGATGAACGGACGGGGTTTTGCGACGATTGAGGAGATTAGAGAGACACTAGCTCCAGTGTATCATATCTGACGGAAAATACTTCCAAGTGAACAAAATGATGAGATAATGAAAAAGTTTACCATAGTTTACATGGTATATGTAGGTATCCTTGGGTGAGTAAATGGAGATATAATTTCATTTGAATAGATTACGATGCAGATGAAATAAAAAAAATGGATTGAAAGCGGTTTCAATTTTCTCTGACACTGTCCGCTAATTCATCAAAGATGTGAATTAGTTTCCAAAATTTGGTTGAATTTTGGATTGTGGATTTGATTTGAATCTAGTGATATCTAGTCGAATTCAACACCTTTTTTGAGAAGATACCCGTTTGACTTCACAATCGTATCTCTGTGAGATAAAATATTAGAAATTCCACATTCCATATACCAAATATGACGATTGTGAAAGTATCTGTTCAAACTAAGACATTATTATTTGAATATCTCAAATTGGACGTGTGTTGGAAAGAGATTGAAATGGAGGTTTTGGTTTTCTACTTCTCCATCTTTAAACAAAAATGTGGGAGGATTTTCCAAAGGAAGCAATTATTTCAAAGAAATCAACTCTATACATAGATGAGAAAATAAAAAACCAATTAGAAAAATAAAGAATATTGAAAATAATTTGGTGTGAAACATTTTCGGACATTTCATTGTGTGTAATTTAATGTTCATATGAGAGTAGAGGTTTCGAGGGGTTTTCCTCCAGTTTGTGTCTGAAAGTTACTCTTTGCCCAATCTAAACATATTTGTATGTAGTTAATTTTTTGAAATTGATTCATCCTTCCTTTCTTTGAAAGATTCCTATATTTTTATATGAAGATGGAGGAGTAGAAAGCCAACATCTTTCTTTCTCAAAAATTATGCTTTCCTAAAAATATACCCTCTTCAATTTTTGAAATAATTGTTATCATAACAAACTTTTTCTCATTAATATTTTCTGCACTTTCTCTATCATATCATAAAGAAGGTTATACAATATATGCCAACGTATGAATGAAATTGAGTTTCCATATACATTCGAGAGATTATTTTTGAATGGCATTTCTGCCAAATGTATCAAATTCAATTCTATTTTACCGACAATTTGATTCAGTTCCATACTGAAAGGTCCATTCTGGACCGAAAAGAATGATTTTGATGACAGTTAACAAACTCCACTATGTTGAATGTTAAATACTCACAACATTTGTTGATGTAAGTCAATTTATTTTTTGTTATCTTCATATACAATATTCTCACGACAAAATTGCTTCTCGAAATTTCATTATTTGTATTCGATGCGCGGCTGAATGATATAAAATTTTCGTTACTTGCGTTGGACTGCTCGATACCACGCGATAAGTGGGCCAACCATACCTGAATGGCCTGATATGATGATATCTGTAGAAAATTACTCATTCAGGTATGTACCTTTCATCAACATGACATGTGGCGATCTTTTTCAACTAACAACACTGATCAATAGTCATATTATTCGTAGTTTTACGAATTAGTTGAATTAGTTGAAGACTCGACTAAATCTTCTTTGAAATAGATGGTTGCTCGTCCCGTATATTGGTTTGTGATGCCCGATGAGAAGACCACCTCATAGCTTCAGATGTGCATTCGAACAACAAAACTTGAGAAAAGAGATTCACTGCGTCATATCATTATGTATTTATAGTGTTTGCTATAATCAGTAAGTTACGAGCGATAGAGCGAATTAAATCAACTTTCTTATTTTTTTTGCAATTTCAAGATATTAATTTTTGGAACGACTTTTGATTTCTCGAAAGCTCTATTCTGATGATAATAATAATATATATTACAGGGTATGCTTTACATTGTTTTGCAACATAAAAACATAAAATACAACAAGTCAGACAGATTGTACGAACATTAAAAAAAAAACATCAGTATGCAGTAGAAATAAAAACATCTTAATATAATAAATATCACTGGAGTTTTTTTCCCAATACCAAACCGTTATTTCAACACCTCGACACATGTTTCGATCACCAAGTGATCATCTTCTAGAGGAAGATCAAAAACTGTTTGATCTCCAAACAGCAATTCAGATATTCATGAATTGAATATGGTTCCAAGTCTATAAGGAAATCTTTCACGTGTTTTTTAAACATTTCAAGGCTCTCACAGGATTTGATATTTTGTGGTAACTTATTGAAAAACTTGATTGATGCATAAAACGCATACTTTTCTGTTAGTGTTAATCTATGAATAGGGAAACATATTTTTGCATTCCGCAAAGGGTAAGTTAGGTTAGGTTAGGTCTAAAGTGAGTGGGTATATTCGACCCTCCACCGCAACCCGCAAAGGTTTATTGTGGCTCACACCTATTCGCAATCGGCCAAATAAACCCAGCTTCTTAACGAAGCCGATTAGTTTGTATGGTGAGTGGTCTTTCAGGTGAGATGGTAATAGTTCTGCTCTGTCGAACTCTAAGAACCTGATTCGTTCCACAGCGGGGCAGGCACAAAGTATATGCTCTGCTGTTTCATCATCATCACACACTGACAGTCCAAGTCTCTGCATATGATGATTCGAATGACAGTGTCCTGTAAGAAGGCCTGTTAGACATCGTAGTTCATCCCTACTGTAGTCCAACAAGTGTTTGGTATTAAGCTTTGAAGGGTGAATATAACGCCTTGGAGTGAGCCAATCCTGGAAGATAGTGCCAGAAGTCCATAAATCTTCTTGCCATCCAGTTCAATGTTTGCTTGACAAAGCCTAAAGCGATGCCAATGACAGGTTCTGGTTCAATGAAGCCTCTTGCAGCACCCTCCTTTGCAAAGTCGACAGTATGGCCAGGAATCCAGACCAGAGACAATTGTAAGGGTAGGTATGATTTGATCCTGCTTCCAAGAACTTTTCTCTATGTTTGAATAAATACATTAGACATTCATGTACAATGCATGTGTTGTCATTATATAACTGTCTTTGAATTTGGTCCGACAAGATTGGCAATACTTCAATTTGAACATAGTTTTTATCACCCTTATTTGAATTCCAAATATATTCGAGACGCCACTCACTACAAGAGCCCCAGAATAATATAGCAAAATTTGCTGCATATATGATTTTTAATGATTTTTTGTTAATAAGTACTAATAATCCTCACATTGTAGCAGACTTGATTCAATTTTTTTTCCTAAATTTATAATATGGGTATGCCAGTGAGGATGCTCATTGGTGTGTATACCTGAAGTTTTGTTGAGGTTTGTACTTTCATTTGACATTTTGCTAATTGAACAGTTGTTGGTGACTCAATTCTTTGTTGAAGGGTTCTGAATGGAACCTAGGTTTTTCGGTTTTGAGAATAAAAAGATATATAACAAGTGCGGTTATCATTCATAAGATCCTTCAGGTACAACATTTGCCCATTTACCTTAGCTTCAATTCTGTTCTATTATATTTCGTTGGGGTAGACACATGCATGTCAAATTATGAACTGGTTCAGTGATGAAATACTTAATTTTGAAGAAAAAAAATTCCGCATGGAGATTTTATATTAAATGCATCTAACAATTTTCTCCAACAGTTTCTGAGATAACATGAGTTGCACAATTTAGAATATGAATTTTGCAATAATACTTAAAGATGAATACTCAAAGATAAATATTGTACAAAGATTCGTCGTTCATATTTAATAAGATTACATTGTAATTATTTGATTGTTTCGTACTTTCATACTAAAACATATCATTTCGCGCATTATCATAAACAATGCCTTCTTCTTAACTTTATCATATATACCTTTCAGTAAAAAATTGTTCGAATGATAATTTCAATGATTGTAATTACACAATTTTCACAAAAAAAAATTGAGGCGCGTTTTGCAACAATATAGCTTCATCAGTTGCAATAATGAATCTGGCGTGTAGCAAAACGTACCTTAAATGAAATTTGTTGTATAAAATCGTAAAATCATGTTTACTGTATCATGGACAGTGTGTTTTCGAATAATAATTGTCCCACTTTCATATTTTAGTTTTTTCTTGACCAACTCCGGATAATTTATCTCTGACAAAATGGTTGAAACTTTTGCGGCTGAGGTTTTCAGTGTCAGTATTCTTCGGGTTCAGAGGCCGTGGATTTTTGGAATTTCTTCCTGGCGTTTCGCTGGCGCGGGCTTCTTCAGATGTTTATATATCCTGGATTAATTTCCGATGATTGAATATTACGGTTTCGTAACGCTTATTTATGCTGTGTCAGGTAGTTTTGAGTGCTAATACCTGTAACTGGAATAGGTAATTCGTCGGTAACATTCATTGACTGCGTTCTGCTGTCGTGCTGTTTCCTATCTTTGAACTTCTTAGAAGTTTTTGAAGAAGAAGTTGAACTTCTGAGGAGTTCAAGGATAGCAAACAGCATGAAGACAGGTAGAAAACAAGTCAAAGAAGAATGTTACCGACCTAATGCAGGTACGGGTATTAGCACTCCAAACTACCTGATACATCATGAATTCGCGTTACGAAACCGTAATATTGAGTCATCAGGATGTAAAAACCTCTGAAGAAGCTAGCCACTGGCGCCAGCGACACATCAGAAAAAGATTTAAAAAATCCTCGGCCTTGGAACTCGAAAAATAGTGAAATTTATCTCTGTTCGTTCTTCTAGAATTTGAAAGGGTTTCATAATTATTCAAAATGATTATTCATGGAGGCAATACTTATATCTGAATTTCAACAAACATATCATTTCCTAGAACCCTCCCTTAAAACAGTTTGTAGAATTTTCACCTGGTACTTTTTTGATAATATTATTTCGGAGGTTCTCAAGAAGGGTTACTATTTTGTGTTTTTGCCAAAAGGGTCTACCGTTGTTTAAAGTATTACATGTATAATAATACAAGTCTACTTGTTTCAAGTCCACTATGTTGAATATATTTCTGATTCCATTTCCGTTCACTCTTTGATTATCAGTGTGAGCTAAAACTCGTGAATGGGGTTTATATTCCAAATAAAATCAAATTGGATCACCGAAGAACAGTTCCGTTTCGAAGTGAATAGGATTCATCACTAACATACAAGTAGATAACGTCAACCTAAGACGATATATTCATGAATGAAGACATGGATAAAAAATAGTGAAATTTCTGTCTAGTAGAGCTGTCTTCAACTTTCAGTTCCCTATATAGGGTGTTTCTCAACTACGGTACGAAACTTCAGAGGGTGATTCGTTAGGTCGTTTTATGAATGAAATTTGTATGAATATATTTCTGGAGTTGCTTCGTTTCTGAAATACAGGGCGTTGAATTTAAAAAAAAAAACAATATTTTCAAATATCATGAATATCCTTACCCTAATTTGGTTGAAATTTGTTACAGTTATTTGAAGTAATAGGGCGCTCATTGAGCTTCAACTAGATTGAAATTGTCAGGTCCAGTGGAGTTTCAACGGGTACCTCAGCCAACAATATTGTGAAAAAAAGTACGCCACTGTCTTGTTATTGTAACATTTTACTTTCTCTTGATTAATCAACTGAGAATACAACGTTTCCGTTGATTGTGTTTCCTTCATATGTAGCTTCGTTTACGATGAAGTGAATTGAAGCTACTTGGCATATAATGAAAATCTGCTTTGGTAATCAGCTGAGAGTTAGAGTGTTGTCATAATAGTGAAAGTCAGAGTTGTCAATCACAGGTGATTCCATCATAAATAATTTTATGGAAATGAAAATGCGGAAGAAGCACGGAAAATTCACCAGGACAGATATCTTAACAAAGTAATTTCATCTGCTACATGCAAGAGTATGTGAAATAGGGAGTTTCAATGAATATCCAAATGATGGAAAACCAGAAACTGTAACAAGGCCTGAACTAGAAGAAGGTATACTTGATGCGATAGAAGAAAATCTTTCAAATGATACCAGAAAGATTGCACTGCAGCTGAAAGTCAGCCCAAAAACCATATGGACAGTTCTAAAAAGGAACTTCCTGTACCCATATCACATACAGCGGGTTCAAGTCCTACTGCCTCGGGATTTTTACCCAAGATTAATTTTTTGCAGGTGGTTGATTCATACGGTGGCAAACAATAATAATTTTTTATCAAATATTTTATTCACAACCAAAGCAAATTTTTCACGAGATGCCCAACCTAATCACGGATTGGATGTGCAGGAAATCAAAATTGGCCAATTCGCAGTCCTGATATGAATCCTCCAGATATATTTTCATTGGGTCATCTGAAGGCTCTTGTTCATAAAAATCCTGAACTAGATATGAATGAATTGAGGAATCGAATAATTGACAATTGCAATGTCATAAGGAATAATCCAGGTATTTCAAACATGTCAGACAATCGATAACAAATCGATTACAGTCGTGTATTTGATCAGAAGGTGGACATTTTACTCATTCACTCTAGGGTCAAAATTGTTTAATATTAATTTTTGGTTTTTATTTTATGTTGTTCATGAATAGTTTTCAGAAGTGAGTTTTTCTCAAAAACGAAGCTTGATATGACGAGAATAAATGCGACGAAAGAGTTGTATTTTTAGTTGCTCAATCTGAAAAAATAAAAAACCACAAAAAAGTCAGTAGCGTTCTTTTTCGCAATATTGTTGGCTGTGGTGCTAACTGAGACACTAGTGGACCATATGATTTCAATCTAGTTAGGGCTGAAAAAAAAATCTGTTTTTCCGTTAATCAGTTAGGGCTGAATAAACGCCATATCTGTTCAAGTATATTCATGATATTTCAATACTTTTTCTTTAGAATTCAACACCCTGTATCTCAGAAACGAAGCAACTCCGGACATAGGATTTTTTCAAACGACCCAACGAATCACTCTCTGGAGTTTCGTAACGTATTTAGAAAACACCCCACCCCGTATATTTTTAAATGAAATTCAAAAACGAAATATCTCATATATTTTTGGTTCATCAAATTTACAACACTCTGCATAGTCTATCATTAGAAGGATATTAATAGGGATATTAATGTCTCTAAACTTAATACTAGTAACTCACCAGAATGTTGAAAATGATGCTGACGACTGAAATACCGATTATCGAAGCCCAATAAGGAATTCCAATAACCGTGTTCAAAGCGACACAGGGGGTGAATACTGTAACTCCCTGATTCAGAAGTTGCCTAATAATGTACGTGCCAGACGCCAGACATCTCACAAGTCGGGACTTGAACCGGAGATCCAGATATTGGTAAACTGAAGTGATGCCTAGGTTGAAGTAAACCGGGACGAAAATATAACAAACTATGGGATAAGCCAGAACCATTCCGTAAAGGGTTTCCCACATTGTTGCTCCCCGGTAGAATAATTCCGATGGATAACCTGGAAAACAATTCATTCCAGTTATTTATAATGAACATATAATTCACTAGATTATTATTGATTTGGAATAAACATCCCACTACCTTTTGGTCTGTGCTACAAGGAATGCTATCACCAGTTATGACAGGTAGAAAACAAGTCAAAGAAGAATGTTACCACGTTTACGCCTTCTTTCTTCAAAAAACGGGCAATATTCCTGTTTGGTTCCCCCACATATGTCAATGTCTTATAACTCACGTTATCGCATCTTGAAACGAGTGAAATTTTGATTTCAAAATTTTCATGGCGTTCTCCAGAGATAAACAATCCTATGAACCATTTCCGTCGAAATATTGAATTTTCACGCAGAGTCAACAAAAAAAAATTTAAACTGTTTTTCTAACCCCCACGAATAAAATTTTTACTACAATATTAGAAGTGATTTTGTGCATTTCTCCTAGAAAAAATTAATACTTTGTTCAGTTTTCAATCCGATGCAATAAAATCGATAGTATGGAAAAGAAAGATTTCGGCTCTGTCCTATTCCATCTTTATACAAAAAACTGAACTCTTCTGAAAATATATCCTTTTCAATTGAAACACGACAATTTTTTGAGAATTGAAATGCAAAGAGCTCATCCGTGACATGAAATCGTGAAATGTTAAAAATTAATTGAGTGCTTTATCTTGTAATATTATCTAGGTTGATGTTGATGAGACAATAAGACAAATGTCTCGAATTGAAAGGGGTATATATTTAGGAGAGATTAATTTTTGGAAAGAAAGGTTTTGGCTTTCTACTTTGGTAGATTCCCATATGTTTTTATGTGAAGATGAAGAAGTAGAAAGCCAAACACTTTTTTCCACAAATGTCTCATTCCGAAACTCCGAAGTTTGCCCTTGCGGATGACAGGGGCTGGAGGAGCACGGGTTCTGCTCCACCAATTTCAAGAAGGAAATAGAGGATTGCATGTCTTCTTGCTGACCCGACATGAACGTATCGAACAATATTGCGTCTTTCTTTCGCTCAAGCCACCCGGCAGCTATGTCCCCCTCACCAACGCGACTCCGATAATAATTATTGGTGTATTATCGCGATTGCTCCAGTGTATACTAGATTAGTTGCTTCCATTAAGTATGCACGATTATATGTGATCGGTTTCAAATAAGGCTCTGGTTGCTTATCGAAACACCTGTTGCATCGCTTATCTTTTTTACCTTTCCAATACATTTTAAACCATTGAAAATCGCATAAGACCCCTAGTTCTTCCGCCATCATACACACTGTTTGTGATAGTTGATAGTCTAAAATCTCCGGAATGAAATTTTGCAAACGAACAGTGCGTTCATTAACACTGGATGTGGAATTGGCCGCGGTGGTAATGCGCCCGACTCACGATCGGAAGGCCGTGGGTTCGATTCCTGCCTCGACCGAATATTTTTCTTGAGAGAATTTATCTGGTTGAAGCTGGGATGATTCTGCAACCGTATTAGGAATCACACGTTGGTTCAATTTGAATTCGTAGAGGAAAATAGAATAAAAATCGCTTAACGACATCTTGAGTAATAATCTGAAAAGAGGCCAAAAATTTAAATGTGGAAATATGAACAACGCCAATGTATAAAGTACCAAATTCTGTATCCGTCAGTATACTCCACGACACAGTAGAATAAATATTCATTGAGATATGAATCTACAAATATATATGGAATAATTGACAAAACTTTTGAAATCTCATTTCATGACACGATAATTTCTTCAATAATTCCGTTCAATATATTTGTTTTCTTTTATATTTTCAAGGAATAACGTCTGTACATTGAAGTGGTAAAATGTTGGAATTGGTACTTATCCAATATTTTTTAACATAATTTTTTTCAGCAAAAATGTTGCAAACAAAAGTATGAATATTCAAGTGGAATGTGAACACAGATATTTTATTTGGTGAGAAACTGTTGAATGGCATATATAATAATAATGATAATGATAAATCGACTTCATTCATCCAAAAAAGGAAAAAATGTGGACATGAGCGTAAATTTTCAAATTACCCTACAAAAATAAACACTAAAAAAACAACAAGTATAGAATATAAGATAAATCAACTAACACAATGAAACAAGCTCAACTAAAATGAGTAATAATAAGAGCTTAGCAAAAATCGACATACAAAGCACCAATTACTAGGATTTTAGAAGAAGTTTCAAGCGTTTTTAATATACCATTATCGTTTAGAGTCTGAAATCACTGAACAATTTATTATACAGTTTGAAGAAAATATAGGTAATAAAAAGTGCCAAGCTGTGTTTGGGAATGATCAGGACAAAGAAAGTCATTTCGGGTATAATAGTTGTTAGTGTGGGAAAAGTTAAATAAATGAGTAATTAGGTTGTTTCGTTGAAAGTAATTTATGTATGTTAGTAAGGATATGTAGACTGCGTAGTTTTTCAAACGTTTACCATCCGGAGTTTCCAAACCTACTACTGATGTGATCAAATTTATGTACACGAAAGAAATAATAAGAGTTTTGAATTCTCTAGAGGCGATGAGAGTCATGTTGAGTAAGTACAAGTCCATATGCAATAGCAATAAGATGATTTAGAAAAAAATAAAGTTTCGCAAAGCTTGAGTTTGAGTAGTGTAGTAAGAATATCTCTATTGGGAAAAATGTGCCTGAGAATGTTATAAAATGATTTACAAAATTCACAAAGATGACTGATATACTTATGAATAAATTCAAATTGGAGTCAATCCTCGAACTCAAGTTTTTACTTTCAGGAGTGAAGGGCAAGGCAATATCATTTATGTGGATCTTAATGAGGTTAGAAGTCAGTGTCTTTTTTTATATTTGGGTTCAAACATGATATTTTTTGCATTCAATTTCGAGTTATGTGTATATGAGATGTACAGCGAATTGAAATATTCATTTATGAGTTCTAGTTCTCTCAGGTTGCCATCAGGAAAACATAGATGAATTTGAGTATCATCAGCGTAGAGATGAGTGCAAAATTTTATAATTCCATATGAACCTTAGATATATATGTTGAATAAAAGAGGAATGGAACCTTGTGGAATCCCAAATTTGGTATTCGGAACTGTTGATTTGGATTGATCCAGGCTGATACACTGAGTTCTGTGTTCCAATGAGCTTTCAATAAGATCCACGGCACATTTATCCAAACCAAAGAGATTAAGTTTATTGCAAAGACAATTTTATTTATTTGAACGACGATAACGTAGGTTATTTTCTCACTAAAATACAGTACGTTATCATCGAACACAGTATTGATACATTGCCTTTCAAAGTAAGTATCACATCTCAGGGGACTGGACCAAATTATTTATAATTGTCAGATTCTGGTCTCAGTTGAACGTCTACTGATGGAATAATGGGTGATGAAGGGCAGAAAAAAAAAACTAATTGCCCAGTAGAGGATAATGTAAAAATTAGTTTCAGAGTATCACTTTTGGCGATGAGTGGACTTGAAATGTTCGTAGCTATTGTGAAAGAGTTGCATGGTTGTACTTCGAGAAGCTTGTTTTCAATTCCAAGAGCATATACTTCCAAAAGGATATAAGCCTCAAAAGAAAACAATGATATCACCTTTTCACTGTTATCGAACTGGAATCATATGTGTCGAAATTTCAAGGTAGTTTGAAAAATCATGGAATCGACTGAAGGAGTAGAAGTACCTTAACCATCCGATGTATTTTCATTGGACATGAAAATAAGGTAATAATCGAAACCTCGTGAGTGAAGAAAAATTGAAAGTAGTAGGGGATAGAATATAATAGAATATTTGTTAACGAGTTCAGGTACAGGTAGAACAGATGGCAAATGAATACTATACAAATCACATATGATATTTTCAAAAATATACAATCACTGACAAAACTTGAACGAAACATTTACAGGAACAGAAAAACCTTGATCAAACCATATAAACAGATTACACTGAAATCATTTAGGTATTCAGGTACACTATAGTATTTATCCACAAGAAGTTTTTCCACAACAGCTTTGAATTTCAGTTTGTCAGGTAGTCATGCAGTGTTTCGGATAAAAAATAATGAAAACATTAAGAAAACCATTTTGAATAAGGAACATCAACAACGTTTTTAAAATTCCGAAAACATTGTGATGTTATGATATAATAATAGTTTCTCGAAGTTTTCTGAATATATTAGAACTGGCTTCACATATGTCCAAAATAAAATAAATATTGTGTTGGTGAAAACTATTCCATAAATTCATACGACCTATGTACTTCAAACCTATCGTCTTAAGAAGTCTGGAAAATGTGTCCCAATGAAAACTAGATCCAACAGAATAAAGAAAATGTCACTTCTCTGCGAAATTTTTTCTAGAGTTCATTAAATGGACTGTCGTCAATATCACCATTAAGTAGATTATAGGTTGATTTACATCAAGCAAATTGTTAAAATTCATCAACTCTCGTGAATTCAGAAAGTTCTTTTATACCTGCAGGATGAAACTTTAGTTTCTAAAAGCTTTCTACATTTTTTGTGTTCGACAAACTTCAACTTCAGGATCCGCAAGTTTAGGATCTTTGATCACGAGAGAGTGAGTATACTTTCGCGATAATGCCTTGTCCGAAGCACAGACACCATATTTTGAAATGTTTTCGGAACAAAAGAAAGTTTGATTAGTTTTTATTGGCTTCTAGTCGATTTAAGGAATTTACGATAATTATACTTCATACAGTAGGTGCACTCTTCTATTTATTTGAAGAAAATGCTCTTCTCTTCTGGGAAAGAGAAATGGCGAGCTATTTTCACGATGATAACAATCCATTTTCTGAGAAATGGTTATCAGTTGCTGATGGAAATATGACCACACATGCAGGGCCTGGTGTGCAACAAATCAAATAAAATTTGTGATCGAGACTGTCAGAGAATAAATGGACACAAAAAACTACTTTATTAGATAGGAATTTTAGGAATTTTTTATTTGAAAAGTTGGTTCTACGGTTATAACTCGATCATAGGGTGGAGTTTCCAAATATGAACTAATAGTTATTACTGAGGTGAAACCCAATAATCAAATGACTCACATACAAACCACAGACCATTTCATGATTTCCATGAACTGTCAGAAAAGTGGAGACTATCTAGCAAAGTGCCTTTGCATATTTTATCTCGGATATTTCCTTCAATATTAACTTTTTTTATTTCTTTCAATGAAGTCTGGCCATTTTCTATATATCACGTGATTATACTCAATTAATATTCTTCTCGCAATTCCATTCCAATTCCATTACCGTTCTTCTGGGACTGGTGAAGCTAAACTTTATAATTCTGAAAGAATATTGTCAAAGAATGATTTGGTTCTCTACTTCTACGACTTCATTATGCAAAAAATGAGGGTACCTTTCAAAGAGAATCAGGAATTATTTTCAAAATAAACTCTATACAGAGATGTGTAGTTATCAACAAAATACGAAAAATTTACTTCTCACCATAACTTTATGCAAAGTTCATTAAATCAACTGCCGTCAATTTCATCATCGAGTGGATAATAGATTGATTTACAAGAAGCAAATCAATGAGATTCATCAAATCTCAAGTTTGTGTCTGAAGGTTATATCGTTACATGAAATTCATTTGTATAGATCTTATTCTTGAATTAATTGCTTTCTTCATTTCTTTGGAAGATTCTCACATATTTTGTATGAAGATGGAGAAGCAGAATCTTTTCAGAAAAATTAATTTCTCTTTAAAATATACTCGATTCTATTCAAACAAGATTCCTATGGTTGGGATTGAATCAAATTAAGGAATGAATGTCATTAGATACTGTCATCGACGGCATGAGTGAATTCAACTCATTCGTGACATAATGTCGTAATTTCATGGATACATTGGGTGCTTCATTCCACGTTGTCATCCAGATATATGTTAGAAAGGCAATAAAGCAAGTGTTTTTTCCGAAACATAGGATTTCCGCCATTGAGGATAACAGTGTTTCATGTAAGTGAAATTTCACCCCCTTCATATACGATATTGTGTGGCAATCCTGTGAATGATATCTGATTCAGTTCCATAACGAATGTTATGAGTAGGAAAAAGTGTTTTTTGTATAATGCAATGTTCATATAAAAGTAGTGGTTTCGAAAGTTTTTTCTTCATGTAATTCATATAAACTCATGTTTATGTGAAAATAGTTGTTTCGAGAGGGATTTTTCTTCCAGTTTGTGTCTGAAAGTTACTTTTTCTCTTGAACAATACATCTTTGTATAGAGTTCATTTTGAAATAATTGCTTACCTCTTTCCTTTGAGAAAAGTCCGAATTCAATTGTATAATCCCAGTTCATTTCATTTCAGTTCTGACAAAAAGTAATTTCAGTCGGTTCAGATAATGCGAAAAATTTCAATTTCTCACTTTCTATACATATATTCATCAATTCGTCACTTTTGCTTTTCATGATGTAATTGTTTTCCTTTTCATCAGGTTGATCTGTTCAAAGACAATTCGAACATCTTTGGGATAGTAAATCAAATGCGCAATATTTCAATTTCTCACTTTCTATTATACATTTGTTCATCAATTCGTCACTTTTACTTTTTATGATGTGATCGTTCTCCTTTTTATCAGGTTGACCTGTTCAAAGAAGATTCGAACATCTTTGTGGTAGTAAATCACGTTCAATAGTCTTTCATCTACATGACATGCAAATCTTTTGAGATTTATATTTCAGACCTAAGGAACTGAAGAATAGAATTCATGTGTGTTGCGTCAACAATATTTTTTTGGTTAATATTCACCCTATAAATGTTTTTACGTCATATCATACATACACAATTATTGGAATATATTTTTCGAAAAGTTTCAATATCATCATCTCTTCAAACTTCATTTGGTTGTCAACTTATTTAATAAAATTGTTATTTTCGGTTATAATCTTTTTTATTTTTTTCAGGGTTATCAAATCAATTTATAATATATTAGACAATGGAAGTCTGAACTGACGAAATAGACACTACCTTGTACTGACGAGTGGCCAAAAAGTTCGAAACCGGTCTGCAAGTGTGTTCCAATAATTGAAAATCTATTGAGGCAGTTTTATCGCCAACAGCATATGCAGGAATAACTTCAATGAAGAATCCTGCACTGACAACTGTTGAATATAACCCAACGCCCCTCGTGTTATTAGCCAGAGAAGTAGTTGTTTTTTGATAGGTGTCAATCCATTAACCTACAGTGTAGATGATTTGAGACTGGCCTGAACGAATTGTTCTTGTAGATAATTTGATTTACGGCCAGTCTTCAAGTATGCCCACTCAATTTGTGATGTTATATTATCCAAGTAACACTTCATTATCAGATTTTCACTGTGAAATCTCACAAGGAAATGGTACTTGAATATATCATGGATTTTCATCACGTATGCGGTTCGCCAATTCATCACGTTCATTTTGTCATTATTATATTGGAGATTTGCTGAAAAATGAAGTTGAAATAACATCGACAATTCACCTATGATCTGTTAACTGCTCATGCAATAAAATTTTTGAATTCTGAAATCATATTGACAAAATATAAAATTGCTCCTCACCAAGAAATGATCGCACTCCTAATGTTCCTCGAGCTATACTCAACATCATGGCCGCCATAGAAACCTTTCCTGCTGCGAAAACATAATCTGCTTTTGTTTTCTCTTTGGGTCCGAAGAATTTAGAATATACCGCCACAAACGTACTTGCAATGACGAACACTATGAAGACTAGATAGTCCCATATCATACTCTTCGCGTCTTTCGACATGTTGACAGGTTTAGGAAATCTGAAACAAAAATAAATTGTTTCACGTAATAATACTTTTTTTCTGGTCGGATATCGCAGATGTATATCGCATACATTTTTGTCTGTCTCCCTACACAAGAATCTTATATTGTCAACAAAAATACAGAATAGGTTATGAACAATATCGAACAAAATTCAAATAATTGTTTATTTTGAGTGTTTTTTTCGAAAGTATGCATGCATAGAAAATCAACAAATTTTTGTTGGTAACAAGAAAAAATGGTTGGATCTAACCGGAAAATTTAATGAATAATTTGTACTATCATTATACTTGTTTGAGGGTGGTTGACAATGTTTCGTGGTGCATTTCATTAGTTCGGGCTTTCATTGTCTAATATAATTGGATTGATTTAAAATCCCTGAAAAAATATATACAAAATGAAAACGATCAGACAACTAAGATGAAAATGAAACTATGATGAAAACCTATAGATGAAATACCACTGAAAAATAATTTTCAACATACTGGAAGGGATCAATTAGTAAAGTTAGGTGACACTCTCACATAAAGATCTCATATTGATTTGATTTGTGATATATTGATGAAGTGGTGCTGAAGGTTTTTCTATTTGAAGAATTAGGTCCATCAACTTAGATGTAACGTGTCTCATAAATATTGAAAGGTATGAAATATACATGCATTCAAGTTACAAATGGGATGATATTTATGGAAAATCTTCCATTAATGAAGACTTTTAAGAGTTATTCCACGTGGAGGAACATTTTTATAAATCCATATTTAGAGAACATTATAACGAAGAACCCAAAATGGACCAGCTTTGTCTCTAACAAAGTGTCATTCGTATTTGGAATCGACGCCATTTGACTGATGATAGACTGGGAAATGGTGGAAAAATTTGGTAACTCACTTCTAACAGTATGACGCTTTCAGGGAGTTCATTAACGTAGTAAGTGGAAGGAAAATGATGTTCTTACTGCTAGTGCGCGGGACGCAATCGCAGAATAATTAATTGAAATTGCTCGAAAATCCGGAGGTGTTAAACAATNTTCAAATAAAACAGTAAATGAAGTACGCGATTTAGGACTAACAATGAATTCGTCGAACAATTCGCCCGTGAAACAGATATTTTTATAATCAATGCAAATCGTCGTCTAGTTTACAAAAAATAATTCTGAGTATCTCCCACAGATAGAAGGAAAATGTCAGATATATTAATGTTGTCTAAAGTTATTAACAAAAATTTCTTTGGATACACCTTGCAGAGACCATGATCTCTTTGTTACCTCATTCAGAAAAACCAGTCCACGTGAAAACTCTCCTTAGTGCAGAATTGTCAGATCCATCAATAGTTATTGTGAGGATATTGAAAAACTGAGGTTACCTTTTCTTAAATTCAAAAACTATGCGAAATTTATTTTTATTTATGATTAATTGTCGGTTCTTGGTGAATTGTTCATTTCATGTTTTCTAATATTCGTTACTAGTGTACTGTACTTAGTGTTTATATATTGTTTACTCACTACATCTCATATGTAAAATGAGGATATTTTTTGGATTTATTCTGTAGTTGTGCAATGAATGAATGAAAAAATAAATATTTCATTCTTGCATACCTACATAAAATTATCATTCCTATCGAATATGGTGTGATTGTGAAAAATGTCGAAATTGAAACACCCATATTGAAAGTGGACAGGAATGCAAATAGAAAAATGAAAATAAAACTAAACCTTTTCAGTAAACCTTTATTTTTAATTTCAATAAATTTACATACTGAAACTCATATCAATATTTTACGCACTATCACTGACAGTGTGAATTTTTACTTCCTATAAATCTCATGATTTGTTACGTGTAATGGATTCAATATGCATGTGAAAAATTTGCTGATTTGCATAAACGGGTGAAAGTACCATTATTATATTTATGTACTTATTTCCTCATTTCGTCCTATTTTACTTTCATCAATCTATTTATTTATATAGGGGCTAGTATTCCAATTATTACGTAGAAAGTAGATACTGTCGAAATTGTACAATTAAAATACAAACAGAGTAAACCACTGAAGTTGTGTAATGGTTTACAAATAATGTGTGGTGCTGTATTACAAGTTTCATTGTGTCCAAGCCAAAAACATGGTTGAAACAACATACCGTGATTCCAAAGAGATACCAACAAAAGTGAAGTATAAATCAATTAGTAATCTCCTATTTATCTACTGAACATAATGGTGGGAACCGCTCTTCATTCATTAATTGTTGATTTTTCCCCAACCAAAAATCAAACTGAGAAACTGATTTAGTTTTGACAAATAACAACTCTGATCTCGGTGATGAACAGACTCATGACGTAAATCAATCAGCACTTCAATATGACGTACAGTTCAATTGAATATTTCTCCATAGCTAATTTATTCAAGGGGAAATTTGCACTGAAAGCAAAACAGGAGTGAGATTGTTTGGGGAATAACATTTTAGGCTTTCAACTACTCTATCTTAATACAGAAAAATTTCCAAATGAAGGAAGCAAGCAATCATTTTCAAAAATTAACTCTAGATCATGCAAACAAGTAACTTTCGGATTGCTTTCCAAGGATTTAGATCCAATACATAGATTTTGTACTTGCAATTTTTGATAGAAAAAAAAAAAGTTTTTGGCTATTAACAACGGATCTCTGCATATTTAGTTCACGTCTGAAATTGATAACAACGTTAACCTTTCATTTTTAGATGTCTTGCTGATTAGAAGTAAACGGATTGTAGAATTTGACATCTTAAAAAAATACCAGAACCTGTTAGATATGTTCTTGATAACTCCTATGCAAAAATGGTGGGACTACACTTTCTTTTCCATAGGCCTGTTACTTTTCTCTCAATCGAGAAAAATACGATATAAAGAAAAGATTTTAGCAGGGATATAGCTAAAATCAAAGTGTATCCTTCAGTCATTATACATGAGTAGATTATAAAATGTATATTTTGGAAAGAAGAATAAATATTCGAGTTTTCAGAAATGAACTCAGTGAAAGTTAACTGTCAATACATATTAACGAAAATACACTATCAGATTGGATCAAATTTTCAAAAATTAGCTTTCAAAACTGTTTGTCTACTTCAACAAATATTAGATAACCCAAAAGATGGTTTGCATGTATACAAAATGCATATTGGTCAAACAGAACATTCTAGAGACTACTCTGCACATATCCAGTTTTGGAGTCGCTCAACAGCTCGTGAATAACGTCCATAAAATAAATGAACACTGTTGAAAATAGTTGGGATCAGTACATGACACAAGACTTTTGGGTGCTTTCGAAAGTCCGAAAACAACAACAGAGTGTGACATAAAGACCATGAACATATACCTTTCCAACTAGTCCATTGATATTTTGAATTATTGATGTATCAAAGTCAGCGAGAAATTTTACTGGAAATTATCCGTATTTGGCAAATATGGTGCAAATGAATTCACCATATTTCCCAGACTTCTCGCCAACCTACTACCATCTTTTCAAGCACTTTGATAACTTTCTCACCAGTAGAACCGTAGACTCATGGAAACGGACAAAACGTTTGAAACTACCTAATAGATCAATAATTCAATGCTCTAGCTCTCATTATGTAGCTGTCATTTTCAACCATATTGGAATGTCCCCAATGAAATTTCGTTTGTCGAAATATCGGTTTTTAAATCTCTGTTTAATCTATATTCAGATAAATCCAGTTGAGAATAAAACATCTATCGTGTATACCTATGGTGATGAAATAATATTTGATGTTCCACTTGCTGATAAAATATTTATCATATATAGAAGCGTTTTAGATATGGGTGAAGAAGTAAACATACATTCACTACAATATAAAATCATTTATAAGCCGATATTAGCTACAACAAATCCAATACAATATATTTTATAACATCGTTATATAAACATCATTTTGGCCTAATTTATAAATGATGGAATTTATAATGCCCCCAATGTAAATGAATTGAAACTTGATAATCATTATTGTCGAGATAAAAAGTTATGAATACCAGTGATGAAAGTACACAAAAAAAATTCATAATGTGTTTGTTTTATTCCTTAGAATGAGAAGGCACGACACGCTGGGGCTATCTTTCAACCGATTTGACGATATAACTCAGGGTCAATAATACAGATTGATATAGTGTATTATAACATACATTAAAACATTGAATGAGTATTTAAACCGTCAAACTAAGACTCATTGTTAAAGCGCATCTAGTCATCGATATATGAGACAGTCATTTCAAAGTCCTTATAATACCGAAACTGATAAATATTTCCAGTTTTCCTTTTTCTTCACACTTCATATACTTCTGGTGTGGCACCAAAAACCCATAACTTCAGTTGAATCGATCTAGTTTAAATGCTCCTGTCGTTCATTTTCATCCAATGATATGCTTTAAAGCACGAAAACATCCAAAGACCCTTTTCTCAATATCAGAGGAATTTTGTTCTCGAAATATGTGAAAAGTGCTTCTTTCAGTGCAGAGACAAATTCGCCTCCATAAAAAACTAGGAAATAGCTTCCATTTGTCAAATGGAAATACTCTTGCAATACATGCATATTCTCTTGTACTCGAAACAATTTAAATGTCCCACTTCTGATTCAGTGGCGCCAGAAGCACAATTAATAAAGGTCAGATTAAACAATAAGCTGTTAATCCGATATAACTCAATACATCTGATGCTTGCCCTATTTGGAGTTTTCGTTTATGTGGTTGCTATGGAGATTAATCTACTTCACTCTATCCACCCCAAGCATATCTCGCCCGGCAACCAAATGGTTACCAAATTACTGCCGGCATTACATAATACACCCGCACTCACATTCAGTACATTCTTTTTGTGGGCCATCCTATTTCATTGTAGAACGGTATTAAGCTAAATGTATAATTCAAATTAATTTCTCCTCTAATTAATCATATATTTTTTTGTAGTTTCGTGTGACTACTTGAATTTAGAGAAAATGCCGTTATTTCATCGTAGAGAA